CGAGTTTAACTTTTATTTTCCGATTCAAGGAAAGTATAAAAAGGAAATATAAATAATAGAAAATTGTTTTAAGTTTTTTTTATTATATTTTTTCATGATTTGTTTTGGGATAATTATTTTACAATTTGGAATTACGAGGAGCGAGTGAGCTTTCTTCCACAAGAAGGGGGAGAAATTCGTTTAGCAAATCAACCAGCTCAGCCTCAAAGGTAGTTTCCTTCTCATAATTTATTCGACTTTTTTTCAACAGAAAGTTATTGTAATATTAAAATTAGAAATTAAATCGTTTAATATACAAATGCATGAGATGATGTGCTTTTCTGTGAGTGTTGTTGTTTTTTTTTCTTTTTTAAAAATAATTATTCCTTTTTTTCAGTTGAATATTTAAATTTTATAAGCTGAAAGAACAACGTGTCATTACAATCTTATGAAATATTTAAAAACTAAAATGATAGATTTAACTATGTCCTGATCTTTGTATCCTTTGAACTTTTTAATTTTATTTTTCATTTAAGGATCACTTTTATTCTTATAATAAACTCAATTTATTAATTTCGTTCCTATTGTCTTTTTGTATCAATTTAGTCCTCAAAGTTGTTTAGGATATTCATCCTAGCCCTTGAAGTTCGTTGTCCGATTTAACTAACAAAATCGTTTAATATAACAGTTAGAAAAAATCTCAAAAATTGTCCTATTCCCCTAATTTTACCAAAATAAATAATAAAATTTTGGGGATTTATTCTAATCATTGTGTTTAACAAATATTTTAACCTAATCCCTTAATACACAAACGCAGAAGACTCACTATTATGTTAATCAAAATAGTTAACTGGCTTTAAGGGTTAGGATAAACATCCTAGACAACTTCGAGGGCTAAAATAATGAGAGAGAAAACGATAGGAGTGAAAATAATAAATTGAATTTATTATAGGGACAAAAATGACCTTTTAGCCCTTTATTGTTTTTAGTTTTTGATTTAAAAAATTAAAGTTTGATCGATAACAATCATTGAATATGAATTTGTTGATTGTTTTTTTTTTAAATTTAACTACGAAGAGGCTAATTTCAAAAGTGCAAAGAATATAGATAGTGAGAGTGTAATTAGACCCATAATAATAATACATATTAAAGTTTGTGGACTTCAATTATCGTTTTTGGATTAGGCCGCGATTTTCATTTAGGGTAAACTACTAATGGTAATTAATGTTTAGATAGCTTTTTTTTTCCACCATTGAAATTTAAAAAATTGTATTATAATTATTAAAATTTCCGATTGTATCAAAACAATAACTTAACATGTGTCATATTAGCAAAAAGATTAAATCAAATTTGATCCACTAAAATATTGTTGTTAAATGGTAAAAAAAATAATTTATTTTTTTGTAGGTGAAATGAACAAGAACCATAGGAAAGAAAATATTTACCCAAAATTCAAGATCTTCAATGGCGTCTAAAGTCTAAACTGAGAATTGGCTTGGTTTTCTTGAAACAAATCCAAGAGTGTCCACCAAATAGAGGCTTAGTTTATCCAAGCTTTAGATAATGAAAAGAACAATGCAAATATTAAAGAGGAGGGCAGGATACTCGGCCCCAATAAACACCCACCGACAGTATGACCCTAACACCAAAAGACGCCATCAAAATGTACTGGAATTCAAACTTTGGGCCAATAACTTTCTAAACCAGTGACGGAGCAAGCTTTTTTGGCCCAATAGGGCCATTAGTAGGGTTGTTCATGGACCGGTTAGCCTAAGCAGTCGGTTAACCATTATAACGATTATGAGATTTTTCTAACCGTAACCTAATCGTTAAGAAACGGTTAATCGCTAACGGTTAATCATTATTAACGGTTCGATTACAGGTTAACCGTAGGTTAACCTATTTCAATTATTTATCAAAAAATTTCATAATTTATACTACAAAAAATATATAACTTAACACGTATTTACACCGATGTAAGTAAATAAAATAAAATAAAAATATAGTACTTAATCCATACTTACATTGATATAATTATGTACATCTACAAATATATTAGTACCTAACAATAAACAAATAATTATATTGGTGTAAGAATATTTCTATATTTTCAAAGAAATAAAAATTAAAAATGATAAACATATATACATATTAAATTATTTGTATACAAATTTTATTAAATATATATATAAATTATAAATAATAGAAAATTATATTAAGTTATTTGTATAAAAATATAATAAATTAGAAATATAATTATAAATTTAATTTCTTAACGGTTAACCGTTTATCAACACTTGTAACCGTATCCTTAACCGTTAACCATCATTTTTATCGGTTCAGTTAACTGAAACCATTTAATATTAACAGTTCAGTTAATTAACATGTTAAATGTAACAGTTATACCGGTTAACGGTTACGGTTAACGATTTGGGTGTTTTTGAACACCCCTAGCCATTAGAATAAAAATTTAGGGATTTACCCATCATCCAATATTATTTTTTAATAAATTGATAAGAAATTTCATGACACAAAAATTATTTTAGTTTATAATAAGAATATAATGTTAATGCATATTGAACATCAATTAAATTTAAAAAATACACAAAAATATTGTTATAAGCAATAGCACACAAAAATGTCATTAACACAAAAAAAATATGTTGAGTGATAATTGAGACCCTCAAAATTTTGGAAAAAAATAATTATTGTAGTCCCTGAACGTTTTTTGTATCAAATATGATCTTAAACTTAGAAAACATAATCTAACCCTTTAAATAGAGGAATCAAACGTTGATCGTCACGATGCTTATATGACAATTCACAAACTTATATGGTGATCTACAATATTGATGTAATAGTTCACGATATTGTTGTGGTAGTACTCGATGAAGATGATGTGGTAAATGTACTTAATTGATTATTTAGAAATTTTAAGGACTTATTTAAATTTTAAAATAAAAATAAAAATATATATTTAGATTAAAAATACAAATAATTATTAAGATATTCAATACAATAAATATAAAAATAATGCAAAGTTAAATTATTAAAAAATTAATTTAAGGACTACATTGAGTGTAAAAAAAGTTTAGGGACCATATTGAATTTTTTAAAAAATTTGAGGGTTTTAAATATCATTAAATCAAAAAATTATTGTTAGAATGATTTAAACTTGTGTAAGTTAAGTTAAAACTCCAGATATCATATTTCTTTATGTTAGGCTTTATGAAACTCGATTGATCAACCGAAAATGTGTCAAGAGAGGGTGAATTGATAATTTAAAATTTAGGAAATAAGGAGTATAAAGATAGAGAATTTTGCACAATGAATTATAGTGGTTTGACTTATCAACCAAGTACACATCCACTATCTAAGCTCTTCAATTAGGATTTTCCAACAAATCCACTAATTTATTCTTTCTTTTTCAAGGATCAAGAGTAACATTTACAACTCCCTAGCTTTTCAAAGGCTAAGCTAGAACCGAAACCCCTTTACAAAGGAAAAGAATTGTAAAGAATAAAACATCTAAAAAGGAATGTGTTTACAAATTAAAGCTCACAAAAACACAAATATTTACAAGAGAAAGAGAAATAAAGAATGAAAAGCTTTTCTCTTGTGTTTGATTGCTTCGATAGGTGTTGGTCACATTAAAGTGTCTTGAACTTGTTTTTATATGTTGGAATACTCATTTTAAGTTTTGATTGGACTTTGAATTATTTTGATGAAAACTTTTAATAAATTCAATTTAGTCCAAAAACATTTTGCCTTTATTTGTTATATCAAAATATTAGTTATGCACTTTATTTTTCAAATTTTCAAAACAATTTTAATGAAAATAATGAAAACATCTTTTTTTAAGTTTCACATTTTCACTTATTTTTATTTTCTATAAATCATTTTTCAAATTTTACAAACAAACACATTTTCTTCGTCATTTTCTATTTTCTAAAAAAATAAAAATAAAATAACATATATTTTCTAAAAGTAAAAAACCTTGAATGCCTCACCTTTTACCATACGTGGGAAGGCCTTACAGGTTCAATACATATTAACCTAACAATTCCAAAGACAAGATAGCGGATTTAATGAGAGTGCTTAATTAAGATGGGCCCAACCAAACCTCAGATTACACCTGGTTCTTAAATAAGGTGGATCGCCTAACCCACCCTCGTGAGACAACTCTCCTAGAGATTGATTAAAGGACAACTATCTTTAGAAATTTTATATTTTTTATTAATAATATATTTTCAATTTTAAAATTTTATAAATTCATTTTAATCTAAAATTAATAATATTCGTAATTTCTAATATAGAATCATAAGTCTGACATTCAAGGGTCTCCGTCCCAATTTCAAAAATCAGACTTTGTTATTTGCACACAACTTTCAGCTAAACAAATGAATGATCGTATCCCTTGATAAACTTGTAGCTACCTTTTCTTCCATTTTTGTTTAAGCGAGAGACAAGTTTCCCAATGATATTAGTACCTGCGGTGCTCATTACTTGACCAATTGCGTCTCACCATAAGGATGATGATGATTACTTGAGAGAATACTTGGACCGTTCAGAAAGCATGAAAACTTATCCACTTTGGACTTCCCAATTGGGAAAAATTCTCAGCCATTTAATTTGACTTGTCCATCATTAATAAATAAAACAACAATTCAACAACTGATGTGCAACCTGTTCCAATAAGAATCCACTGCCACTGGACGCTGACATTCTTGAATTTTAGGTCCAGGTGACTTCTTAAATAATTTTATGATATGGGCTGGGCCGACTTGTAATATTAAAAAAAGATAAATTTATAAAAAAATTCAGAGATAAAAATATATGATTAATAGAAAATATAAAAAATATATGAAATTTCAATATATTCTTAACAGAAAATATTAAAAAATATATATGAAATTTTAAAATTTTCAAGGACGTACACTTCCCAACGGTCCATTAATGACCCCCTACACTCGAACGTAAAATTTAATTGAAGGAAAAAAATCATATCCAATTACAAACCATGGAGAAAGGGAGAAGAACTTGATTGATTGTATAATGTATTACAACATATGACAGTTTCTATACAACCAAACTAGAGTATATACATGCGTACACCATCATATAACTTCCAGTTTATTCACACTTTCCTTTACCAGTCACCCGACACCACCACAAACGGCCTGGACTGGACTGGCATCTTTCACTATATGGTAACTTCTTTACGTAACAAAACACCACCAAAAAAAAAAGGAAAACGGAAGCGATCATAAATCAGTTGGGGTGCAAACTAGAGCTCTCTGCTGTAAATGTCTCAAGCTCTGCTCCATGCTGACTTGGACCATCTCAGCCACCATCTTCTTTGCTTTACTAGATTGGTCCTCTCCATCCATCTGAGATATTATGTTGCAAACGATGTTCTCTATTGTGTCAGGTTGAAGCTCGGATCTCGGATACGGACTCTCCCTCAATAACCTCAAAAGTGACTTGGCTTTCGTCTGGGACTTGGGTGTTCCTTGCACCGTTGACTCCAACAGTCCAGGAATCACACCTTCTCTAAGAATCGGTTCCCTATATTTACATCGGTCACTCTCGCATGTTGTCAGCAGTGCCCCAACAGCATGTTCCCTGGCTTGGAGAGTGCCGTTCTCGAGCACCTCGACGACTGCTAATATTCCGCAGTCTTCAGCTGCCAAAGCGGTTCTTCCTTCATCGAAACACACCAAGGATGCTATCACGGAACAGCATTTCTCGGCTGCTTTTGAAGACTTTTTCGAGGCTTTCAGTAAACTAACAATGGAGGGGATGGGACCGGTTTCATTTATGGCGGTAAGGTTGTTAGGATGTGTGGAGAGATTGGATAGAGCCGTCACAGCATCAACCTTAGATTGTGTGGGTCCATGTCTAAGCATATGAACAAGCAAAGGAATGGCACCGGATGCGCCAATAATCGTCTTGTTATTGACAGAAGCTGACAGAGTGAGCAACGCTGCTGTTGCAGAACCTTGCAGGTTTAAGTTATCACTTTGAAGGAATCTAATGATTGGCTCCAATGCACCTGCTTCCACAGTGCTCATCTTATTCCTGCACAATTTGATGCAAAACAATGTTTTAATAACATTTTCAATTCACTCATGCATCAAAATATTCCTGTCAGATTGGATTAAAGTTTCTATAATGATTTCCTCATGCTTGCAAATTCTCTAGGCAATAAAAAACCAAGATCATTGTCTACATCTCTATTTGTAAGATCATCTCACAGTTTCTCTCTTAACCGCACACCTTAGAGTCTTAGACGACCGATTCCTATCTCTATTTATAAGATCAATCATTTGATTACAAGGAAAACTTGAGTAACAAGAAATTTACTTCAATACGGTTTTCTACTTTTTGAGCAGACCAAAACGAAATTTGAATTATGAACACTAGACAATATCCTATAGTGTTTTGAAGAAAAAGCGTAGAATGATATAGGTTTACTCAATTAGTTAACAAATAGAAGTTTTAATTAATCTGCGATTATAAATCCAGAAGCTTTTAATTAATCCTATTGGATTGCTTCATTTTTAAGGAAACAAGAGGAATGCTTTGTTATATTTAACAAGTCCCTAAAGGTAAACAATGGATGGATTTAAATCCTCCTCTTGGGAGAGAAGTATATACCCTCCATCACCAAACGAATCCTGCTGTCAAAATGATAACTTCAGCTAGAAGATAACAGAAAGAAAAAGGAAAATCTCAATAAAGAAGAACAACTACACTTTTTAATCAAATTAATAAAAAAATACATACACCCTCCAAAACTAAAAGCAGCACCTAATTCTTTGTAAAGGAATAATCCCAAAATTAAATTCATCTTCACCATAAACGAGAAGAAAATTAGCCTTATGCAATTCATTTCTTCTTATTATTCATAAAAAATACATACTAATCATTAAATTGTACTGTCAAAACAGATCCAAAAATTTAAGAACAGAGGTTCAAAATTTTAATTTTTTTCTTAAAAACAATGGATATACAAAAATTATATATTTTTTTACTTAACACATTAACTTAAATTTAATCACTTTTCTAAAATAATAGATATCACTTAGTCAGATGAGGTTCAGTGCATCCTCCACTGGTCAAAACATTCCGGGGAAAAGCGAAATTATATTTTGATGCTCTGCGGATTTTCTGAATACCCGATAAGGAAATATAGTATAAATTATTATTCTTTCTTATGTTGAAAAAGAAAGAAAAAATAGAAACATCTAAAATAAATAGTAATCAACGTGAAGATTAATACTTTACGAAACTCCGATTCCCAATACAAACTACCCAAAACCATTACACTATTCTAAAAACCCCGAATCAGTAAAAAAAAGTAATTTGAAACAAACAGGTTAGAAAACTCCATTCATAATAAATAAACGCTGGTTGAGGAGGAGATTATTAAAGGGTGAACGTACTTTTCGTCTTTAACGGCAAGGTTAAGGAGGGCGAGAAGGGCGGGCTCGTTGTGGGACTCGGGTGAATCAACTCGTAGCATAGAAACGAGTGGGATAACAGAGTCGGCGAGGAGCCGCCGACACCTCTGGGAAGTTTTGGCGAGACGGCGGATTTCCTTGGCGGCTTGCAGCTTGGAATCGGGGTCGTCGTATTGGATTAATTGCAGGGTTCGAAGGACGGCAGAGGTTTCTCCACGCGGCGTGACATCCACGTCCGACGAAGAAGGGCTTTGGTTGGCTGCGGTGGTTTCCATTGGAAGAAGAAAAGAGTCGGTGGTACTGGTGGGAGAGAAAGAAAGAAAAGAAAAAAAATCCGAGTGAAAGTAAAGAGGAGGAGCGAGAGACAGAAATTAAAAGGTTGGTTTGCTTTCTTTTAAGAGGTGCAGTATAAACCAGGGTAGTTATGTGGTGCGGCGTCTAAAAAAACGGTTAATATACCGCGTGATCGATTAAATAAGTGATCGATTAAAATTTTGACTGGTTATATTATATTATTTAACCAGAAATATTATAAAGTATAATAACATACTAGGTAGCGCTTATATTTACCTATTTTATAAGTAAATCGGTATATTTATATTGATAGCATTGCAAATTTACCTATTACATTATAATATGTTGAAAGTGTCTATACTTTTTATAAAAAAGATCGATACTTTTTTTAAAGTTATGTAATTATGTTTCAATTTTTTAATTGTTTTATGTTTCTATATAATATAATTTAATAATTTCATTTGCACAAAAAATTATTTAATTGTTTGATATTTATAAAAATTATTAGAATTTAAATTTAACAATATAACAAGATAATAATAAATATGTAATATATATTTATTGTTTTTAATTAATAATATATATATTGTACGTAAAAAATAAATCATTAGACGCCTATAATTACTAAATTAATATCTTAAACTCACTCAAAAGATAACCTTAAATTATGTTTTCCACAGTGAAAAAAGTATGGACACTTTTATAAAAGGATAGATTTACAATATAAGCATACTATACATATATAAACGTACCTATTACATTATATAAGCGTACCTATTACATCATATTTACCTATATTAAAAGTGTCCATACTTTTTATAAAAAGGATCGATACTTTTTTAAAGTTATGTAATTTATGTTTCAATTTTTTAATAGTGTTTCATATTTTCCACTACAATATTAATTTAATAATTTTTACACAAAAAATATTGATTGTTTGATATTTTATAAATATATTAGAATTTTTAATTTAATAATATATATATCGTAACGTAAAAAATAAATCATTAGACGGGTATAATTACTAAATTAATATCTTAAAACTCACTCAAAAGATAACCTTAAATTAATGTTTCCACAGTGAAAAAAGTATGGACACTTTTATAAAAAGGATAGATACTTTACAATATAAGCACTACCTATACATTATAAACGCTACCTAACATTATATAAGCGCTACCTAAACATCATATTTACCTATTATATTGAAAGTGTCCATACTTTTATAAAAAAGATCGATACTTCTTTTAAAGTTATGTAATTTATGTTTCAATTTTTTTAATAGTGTTTCATGTTTTCCACTTACAATATTAATTTAATAATTCATTTGCACAAAAATTATTTGATTGTTTTGATATTTTATAAAAATATTTAGAATTTTAATTTAACAAAATATATCGTAACGTAAAAAAAATCATTAGACGCGTATAATTACTAAATTAATATCTTAAAACTCACTCAAAAGATACCTTAAATTAATGTTTTCCACAGTGAAAACAGTATAGACACTTTATAAAAAGGATAGATACTTTACAATATAAGCACTACCTATTATTATAAACGATACCTATTACATTATATAAGCGCTACCTATTACATCATATTTTTACCTATTATATTGAAATGTCCATACTTTTTATAAAAATGATCGATACTTCTTTAAAGTTATGTAATTTATGTTTCAATTTTTTTAATAGTGTTTCATGTTTTCCACCTACAATATTAATTTAATAATTTCATTTGCACAAAAAATTATTTGATTGTTTTGATATTTTATAAAATATTATTTAGAATTTAAATTTAACAAAATATCGTAACGTAAAAAATAAATCATTAGTGCCTATAATTACTAAATTAATATCTTAAAACTCACTCAAAAGATAACCTTAAATTAATGTTTTCCACAGTGAAAAAAGTATAGACTTTTATAAAAAGGATAGATACTTTACAATAAACCACTACCTATTACATTATATAAACGATACCTATTACTTTATATAAGCGCTACCTACATCATATTTTACCTATTATTGAAAGTGTCCATACTTTTTATAAAAAGGATCGATACTCTTTTAAAGTTATGTAATTATGTTTCAATTTTTTAACAGTGTTTCATGTTTCCACCTACAATATTAATTTAATAATTCATTTACACAAAAAATTATTTGATTGTTTTGATATTTTATAAATAATATTTAGAATTTAAATTTAACAACATTAACCAAGATAATAATAAATATGTAATATATATGTTTATTGTTTTTAATTTAATAATAATATATACCGTAACGTAAAAAATAAATCATTAGCCTATAATTACTAAATTAATATCTTAAAACTCACTCAAAAGATGTATATACCTAAATATGTAGTTATTGTACATACCTAAATATGTAGTTATTGTACATACCTAAATTTAATGATAATATATACTTGTAGTTATTGTACATACCTAAATATGTACTGTGAATTTAATGTTGTACCCACCTTTAACTACCACTACCAATGCCACATCCTATTGAAAGCAGCACGACTGAAACATGTTCAAAATGAACCTTTGCTTACATCTCCATCAACCTGGAGCACTGAACTTGCACAACAAAATTTTTGCCATGGATAATACTAATGTAGACAATGTTAAGCCAACCGATGAATGCCATGAAGTACATAATGTTGATGAATCTGACAGATTGGTTGGTCAGCTCTTCTGTTCACGTGATCAAGCTTGGTACTTTTACAAGGGATTCGCACGGGAACATGGGTTAGTGCACGTAAGGGAACAACACGGCTTGACGTGGAAGGGAATGTGAAGACACAAGAATTTTGTTGTTCCAAAGAAGGGTTTCGAGTATCAAAAGTCAATACTGTTGATCGTCAACGTGCTCATACGCTAGTCACAAGAACAGGATGTAAGGCTAGAGTCGTAGTTACAGCAACAAATACAAACGATCAGTGGGTTATAAGTAAGTCTGATCAGAAACATAATCATGCATTGTGCACACCTGCTATGACACCATTTATGCGTTCTAATAGAGCTGTAAGTAAGGCTGATATCGATGAGGCAATAACATTGAAAGAGGTCGGTGTTGGCACGTCACAAGTAATGAACTATTTAACGCAGCAGGCAGGGGGCTATCATAATGTTGGATTTACACATAAAGACCTCTACAATGCACTTCAAAGAGGTAAAGCAAAGGAAATCGTCGATGGGGATGTGAATGCGCTTATTGCCTACTTTGATTATAAGAAACATGATGATCCCGGGTTTTTTATGACATACTCGGTAGACGAATCGGGGGCATTGTATAATCTTATTTGGTTGGATTCTACATCGAGATCGGATTACACATGCTTCGGTGATGTAATTGCGTTCGACACAACGTACAAAGATAATTTGTATGGTCGACCAATTATGCCTATTGTTGGTGTCAATCATCACCATAACACAATTGTGTTTGCCACTGCCATAATCGCTGACGAGACGTCTCAATCTTTCGAGTGGGTGCTATAGAATTTTTTAGACATATTCTCTCATAAAAAAGTGTCGACACATTATTTAGACATATTCTCTCATAAAACCGGTATACTTGTACCGGTTAGATTGAAAAATTACATATTACATTATACTTTTGGTTTTCGATGTTTTTGGGATCGACACTTTTTATATATGGATCGACACTTATGGTTGCACCCTGTTTTCCATTCATTCTGGACCAAAAATATCGACACAAACTAAAAGTGTCGACACATTATTTAGACATATTCTCTCATAAAACCGGTACTTGTACGGTTAGATTGAAAAATTACATATTACATTATACTTTGGGTTTCGATGTTTTTGGGATCGACACTTTTATATATGGTTCGACACTTTATGGTTGCACCCTGTTGGCCATATTGTAAATTTGCCTTTTACTTCAAAGTATCAACATGACCCTTAATGTGTATAAGAAACATGTACAACAACATACTGCTAACTTTTCTCATCTCATTCATAATTATATTCACATACAAAAATATAAATCGTATACAAAATTATAAATCTTATACAAAATTAACCCTACATTTACATCATTGCATCCTTTTGTTATTCTTATATAATATGGCAGCTTTTGTTATCTCCTGTCTTCGTTCATTTTGATTGTGGCTTACGAGATCGTTTAATATTCGCGATCGATCCCAGTCTCCAACAACCTATATTCAAATTGTCAGAACGTTAAGTATTGTCAACTACAGCATTTAATCTACGACTTTTAACAATTTTACCACAAACGAATTTTTCTATCCACTTACAAAATCATCAGGTGCCCCTGTAGAACCGATCGATTCCATCCACATCATCACATACATGCCGCAATCATGCCTGTTACAAAATTTGAAAACCACATGTCAATTATGATGAATACTGCATAAATTAAGCTTTCTATTTGTGATAACATCTCATACCCATTCAATTGCTTATTCTTCTTATGCTCCACAAATTTGAAATTTTTCAAGGGATACTTTCCTAGAGATCCACAGGATTCAACCCAAATGTGTTTCTTATTATAAGAATCTAATATTTTAATCTGCATTAAAATAGAAGAAGTTATGCACCAAAAAAATTATGTATTATAATTTACATAATGTCCTTTCATACATACATACATACCAATCTCTTAGCATCATTCACTCTCTGTTTAGCTGCTTCAGTTGTAAACATACTATCATATATTGTTGCAACACGATCTACCATATCCAACACCAACAGATACCAATGTGAATTATGGTAGTTTATTGTGATCATGATCTGCAACAAATTTCACACCCAATTTGACAAAATTCAACATTCTATATCCGAAAACATCATTTGCAATTGGTATGGTGTCTTACCTTCTCACAGTCGGTGAATTTCACATAGTTATTCAGTATGGGACCCCAGAAGCTAGCAATACCCTCAACACTTTCTTTGCTGTTGGCATCCAACGCCTGCTGCTGCAATTACGCAACAAACATTATTAATTTACCGTCTATAACACTACTTATCTCCATTTATTAATTTAACTCACCGCTAAGTGGTATGGAAGGTAGCCAATCC